CCTGGTACCAACCGACGATGGCGTTGAGCAACAGGATACCGCAGATGACACCGAAATCGACCCAATCCTGAAGACCAGCGGCGAGAAGAGCAGCGAGCTCCATGACTATGATGCGTTAGTTTTGCGCTAGGCCAAATTGTGCAGGGATGCTTACCGTATAGAATGGGACCAGTGAAGTAACCGATGAATTGCTTGAGAAGGTTGGTCTTCTCAGAGGAGATTTCGTTGAAGCCATAACGCTTGCGACGCTGCTCGACATCGGCGGATGTCAAACCAGTGCGGAGCTCAGTGTTGAGGTCTGCGATGCGATGTTAGCAAATTTGTTTCCTCATCGTGTTGCTCATCTCGCATGCTGCAGAAGCGGGTAGTTTGGTGGAGCCGGTCTGCATGATTGGCTCCACCGAGGAGGCCGCTATCGCGTCGCTAGCAGGGAGCAGCTTGAGCGCGGACCAGGCCCGCGCCAGCCACCAGATGTCGGCCCTCGAGCTCAACAAAGGATGAATTGGCGAGGCAGGTGACGCGCCGCGGCGCATTGCTGCAAACGGATGCTGTGAGGGAGAGTTTGGTAAAACTTACAGTCGTCAGGGACAGCGCCGGCGTCCTGGATGGGAGTGGCGGCGGTGGGAGAACCCGACTTCCAGAACTGCCACCAGGCCTTCTTCTTCTGGGTCTGCTCGGCGTGCGGGTTGGTTCGGGTGTCGCGGTAGAAGAGGATGTACTTCTGGAGCGCCGTGTACTCGTCCATGCCCTCGAACTCGGTCATGGAGACGATGGACTTTTGCCGCTCAGCGGCGCTGGAGGCGCGGGGGCGCTCAACATCGTCGTTGGGCGCCATCTTGTCGAATTAAGGAATGCTGTTGCTCGTATGTATTATTATATCCGGTAACTCTAGGCACAGAGAAGGCTTTCCGAGGCGACTTGACGGTGAGGTTGAGTGTCAGGTCGAATGTGCTGTGCAAATGGGTAACTGCAAGCAGGGCCTTCTCTGTGAAGAAAGTGCAGAGGGTGCGGGAGAGGCTCTGGTTAAGTAGCGCGGCAGAAACTCACCCACGTATCAACCCAGGGAAAAACTCAGCAAGGACCGACCTTTGGCCGCTATGAGGGATTTATGATTGTCATAAAGCTAACCGCGGATGGAGCTTAGCTCGAGCCGAGAGTCCCGGGGGTGAATTTGTTGTGAGCGGCCCGTGCGCCAGCCGCTACATCATCGGCGCGCGACATGGCGCAGAGATTGGCCGTCGCAGCGCCCGGCCGAGCGTGATGCGCTGATGACGGAGTGCTTACTACAGTGCTGTACGGCTGCGACTGCGGTTGCTGTGTGCGCAGACTCTGGTACCTCGACGGGCACCAGCCGACAGCAATTGGGATGTCAGCAGCCGGCGTCGCGATTCGCAGCGCGGTTCATTGCTTCTCCACCAGCGGCAGCAGAGATTAAGCTGGAGATAGCGCGACAGTCCGCGACAAGCGTGCAGCGCTGCAGGGATCAGCTCCCATGACGTTTGGCAAGAGCGACCGGCAAACAGCTCCTCCACGCACCTTGCTCACTCCGGACGCACCAAGCTTCAGCACTCATACGCAGGAAAGCTTGAGTGCTTGGCGCGATCTCAGCCAGAGTGCGAGGCATTTTCCCCCCGTACGAGAGAGCCGCGTATCCAGACTGCTCCCCACGCTGCCTGCGCGACTTTCCGACTTTCGCATTTGCACAATTTTCTTCTAGCGGCCTTCCAGACCCACGAACCAAGATATGCCACTTATCCCAACTCCCTCAACTGCAGCCGCCGCGCCATAATATCCGACTCCCCCCATGCAGCGCGCGCGACCAGCATGCCCAGATGAAGCAATTGTTTTCTGCCCCCCGCGTAATCGACCGCCGCCGCTTCTGCACAAAGGACCGCACTCCATGATTAAGCACGTGCCAAGCGGCTAAGGGGCGTCTCGGGGCCTGCCTCAAATCAGCCTTAGCTGTCTGCCACCCGACCATATCGGCCGAATCAGAGGCCCCCGACCGCCCAGCGTCGCCTGGCCAACGGCTCCCAATTACACCCCATGTTATGGTCATACAATACATGCTATCTGCGACTCCACACGTCCCATGGCGCCGTTGCGATGCTACGCACACACGACGTTGCGCAGGGTCCTGTCTGTTGAATTTGGATCGCGACCGAGATGACTTGGCTGTCGTGAGGCTGCAGGCATGGATGCGCCAACGCGCCCCAGTTCTTTCCAGACCGAGGAAGGCCTTCCCAACGAGGAAGCCGCGTCGGCGCGCCACGTGACGTCCTGCCTGTGGCTCGCTCTCGCCTCCCTTGGCTGCGCGACTGCCGATGCTTCGCCGGTACACCAGTGAGCCTCACCGCATTGCCTCAGCCTCCAGAACGAGTGCGGGAATAATCATCGCACCCACAAATATCACCCTCCGTCGCCGCTGCCGACACCAACCTCTCCATGTCTGCCCCGAGCCCTGAATCGCCAACCCCCACCGCCAATACCGCTGTCGGTCCGCGACCGTCACGCGCATTGCAACGCCATGTGCGTGTCATGTCGCCTGAAGACTTACCGGTCGAGATATGGCACATTATCATCATGTATATAGACGATCACTGTTTCGCCTGGTTCGTGCTGCGCCAGATATCTCCCTTTCTGGCTCATGTCGCGCAAGATGTCTTCGCGCGCATCGTCTCGCGTACCTGCAGTCTTCGCTTCGCTGGACAGACGCTATGGAACTTGCTGTAAGCCGCGTTTCACCCTGCGCTGCTCGGGAAACTTTCACTCACCATGCCAGTCCTCCTGATCTTCGCTGTGATACACAATCCCCATATCACACCTTCCGCGTGCAGTTGCCGTCGTTTCGCTTCCAGCCCTCGTCTTTTGTCCCCGCTAGCTCCAAGGCCAGACTTGTTCTGAAACTATCTTCACCGGCAACTGTGAACGACACGCCATCCTTGCGCCGGCCATATGCAGGGACGGTAGACCTGACGAGCCGCCTCACTCAGGTTTTCTTCCATCCCGGCGCTGTCGCAGACGCCGAACGCAACCGTTTGCTCAAGCAAGCCCACTTTGTGCTTTTTGATGACCAATTAAAGAGCGTCCGCCTGCCTTCACCAGCCATCGATGTTACCGCCCAGGAACTATCGCTCGACTGGCGCCAGCTCTGCGAGACCTTGATGCGCGACCAGTTCAAGTGTCGCTTTGGCTCTGGTGCGTCGGTCCCCTGGTGGAGAGAGTTTCCGTGACCGGTCTTGTATCACATACCAAGAGCCTACTTCACCATCGTCACGAGGCCATAACATATTCTCCCGTCTGGGCAAGCGCACAAGTAATCTATGCTCGTTGCACCCCCAGATGGGTTTGATGGCCCGCCAAGTAGCAGATCAATTTTGCGTCAGCAACGGATCTGTGTAGATCGCCCTTGGCACTGGGAACACACACCCCCGACGATCCAATGTGTCCGCCGTGCGCCTCTCCTCCTTCTCCGCCTGGGCATATTCCTTCATGCCTTCATGCCCGGGTCATTATCGTTCACCATCCGCACCTTACTTTAGACAAAGTATGCCCAGCTTCTCCAAGTGTTGCACTTGGGTGCGGCATTTCTGACATTGCCTTGGCTTCCCTCGCGGGACTATCCGAGCCGCGGACGTCCAAATTGGTCTTCCACGATGATGCAGCTCAACCTCAATATCGTTCTTGATGAACACACACAACCGTTCATTCCGGCTACCATCCTTTGAAATTCATTATAGTGGCCACCTCGACGTCGTCTTGGTGTCGGCGCGAGCCATCACCAGCAGAACTCCGTGACTAGTAGTGCAGTTACCCCAGAGTATACACAGTCCACCTCCGTAGGGAAGCCAAGCGTTCAGTAGTACATGTGTTCCTTCTCCTCTCCCAACAGTGTGTCAGCAGATTACATGTCTTTGTCCTCCGCTGCCAAGTAGCTCTGTGCGGACACACCAGCCTCGGCGGAGACCGTGTACCACACAGCATACATCTCCTGTCTGTGCAACCTCTTGGCCACTTTGTCTTGTTACTTTTCTTAATTGGACTACATCATGTGTTACTTTGTGCTACTCTACTTCATATCTCTTTATATTCTTGCGTGCGTTAGATTTCACTTGCGCCAAGTCTATAATCCTTCACTGTAGGATGCTGTGTTGTCACTGACGAACTTGGCTTAACATCAGACTATTGAGTACTTGCTGACTTCAGTAAAGGATTGCATGGAAATATGGGGGTTTCGACTTGGCTCTGCCATGAATGTGGCTTCTGGGACAAGACCATGTGTCAATCACAAGCATTGTGCCGTCTTATCCGCTATGGCTGCCAAGCATACCCGCTGCACCTAATCCACCTCTTACAGATCGGATGCTGAATGACGGAAATCTTCATATTGCAATGTAATGATGTAATGTGTCTCTTAAAGTTATCGGTGATATTCAGATACGCTGTATTGTGTTGTGCTATGCTATGCCATACCTTGTAGCGACCAGCGCACAACATAGTTCGTATTTTCTCTGATACCCGTGGAAAAGGGCACCAGGTAGATGTTGAATCCGAATTTTCTGATGTGAATATGCCGTGTCATCCGCGTCGTGGGGGGCATGTTGTTGGGGCAGGTGGTGCTGTTCATCGCCTCGCTAGAACCACAATTTATTTTGCATCAGCAAACAGAACATCAATTCACCACACCACCAAATTTGTCCAACACGCAGTCAAAAGATTAGAAATGGTTGAACAAGCCGTGAAAATTGGATTGCCGACTTTTCCAAGAAGCCCGACATCGCTGGGCAGGGTTAAAATAGATAGGGCTGAGTTTTACGTTCATGTCAGCAGCTACCGGGTGCATCCTTATTCAACGCAGAAAAGGTTCACAACGGCGTGGCAATACCGCAACGTCAAAACGAAGTCCGCCCGGAAGACGAACGTTATTATTATGGTTCAATGACATGCTGTCACTCCAAGCAAAATATACGTTGCACCAAATTACCGCATCACCACCTCTACTACACGACACCCGTCCTTATCGCCGCCATCGCACTCTTCATAGCCGTAACAACATGATTCGCAACAGGCGCATGAGCGTTCTGTCGGAAGAGAAAGATATATCGCACCATCACACTCGCCTCATCAGTAATAACATGAACCCCGGTGGTAACGCTGTTACCCTGCCCAACGACCTCGCACCCAAGGATAACACGCATATTGGCCAGCGCACTGTTCTTCCACGTCGAGTAGACAGGCGCATAACTAAACGACGTCGCAGGATCTTCCGCCATATAAATACCCCTTCCATACACTGCGCCCGTGCGTTGGAGAGTCGTGCCCGAGCAAACGATAAGGCCTTTAGCGAGGATTGCTGGGAGGCGGTCTAGTGATGTGCCGTGGAACAGTACTGTAGTCTGCGTAGAAGGACTCGGGAACTTTGCCATATACGCCGATTCCAACGCTGGACTCGCATTCGCCAGGACAAAGTGATGCGTCCCCGTAGGCAGATTCTTGATCCTACACAGCCCGCTCGCTGTAGCTATGTAACCGCGATAGTGCGTACATGCCCATGAAATGAGCTTCTCAGCGTCGGCGTGGTATCTGGATAGTACGGTGGAGATGTGGACTGCGTCGCGGATGACGGACAGTTTGGGTAGACTATCGAGGATGGTTTTGACGGTGCTGATGGGGTGGATGGGACAGTTGGGGAGGAGCTCGGCTTTGTTGGCCATGGCGGCGCTGTAAATGGAGCTGAGGAGCATGTCTACGGCGAAGATGTCGGTGCGGATTTCAGGGATGCGGACGTCCAGGGGGAGGGCGTACCTGTGTTGGAGGTGGTTAGTGATTGTACTATTGACGCTTTCTGTTCGGTGATGACTTACCATAGCAGTTGACATGCAACAGTCCAACATGGTGTAGATCTCCGCAGTTGCGTGCTCCTCCCTTTGTGGCGGCAGCCGCAGGAGATGCATCTTTGCCCCATTTCTCCGATCATGGTCTGGACGAGGCCGTACAGCCCTCTTAACGATACGTTCCCCGCGCGAAGGTACCGATGGATATGCCTGTTCATCTGCCATACGAAGACAGTTTGCTTCGAGAAACACACATTACCGTGTGGTGCATTGGAAGTTGCAACACAGATCCACGGGAAATGTTGATCAGTCTCTATACCCTTGTCACTGTCGTAGTGCACACAGAACGCGGGTGGCTTGCTCCCATACCGATCGATAGTTAGCCGTAAGAGAAGGTTGTTCGCTGTGCTCGGTACGCCCATTGCGCTTCGTTGTAGTTCAGTGTAGGAAGCGAGTGTGAAGCTCATCTCAATCTCGTCATCGTCGATTAGTTCAACTAGATCGATGATGCCGGGAGGCAGTTCTTGTATCTCATCTTCCAGCATATTACTATCGGGTATATTGTACTCCTCGATCAGCAAGGCTGTCTGCAAGGGGTCTTTCGCCTTCAGTGTTCGCTTTAGCCCTTCGAGGCGTTCGGCTTCTTGCATGATCTCTGCTTCGATACCATTCCAGAATTCTGTTGCTTTGGAGAGCTCGCTCTTAGGGATATTCTGCTTGTATACTTTCAAGTCGAGTAGCTGAGCGAGGCGTTCGATAATCGTTTTCGTCTCTAGTGCTACGTCGTCGTCTTGGATCCAACCAGCAACCATGACCTCAGCCACAGCTAGTGGGATGTCGTATCTTCGCTTGGCAATTGTTTGAAGGGGTTTCTTCTTCTTTGGCGTCAATGAGTCTGGTTGCGTCATGATCTTGTACTGTTTGGACGCGCCGTCGTAGTAGACAACATCTCTCGAGACGATCCGAGAAAGACCAGCTCGCTCGTGAGTAGGAAGACCAGGTATGTCCAGAAATCCACATCTCGCATCCCAAATCTCGTTGCAAGCTTCTATAGCCTCATATGGCGCGTCCAGTAGTTCAGATAAATACTCAATGACCTCGCGCATGTCTGATACTCGACCGTATACCCATATGACAATGTTTTGCATAATTCTCTCGGCTGAATTCCCTTCCGCCTTTTGGAGATGTGAAAGCATGGCCAGGTTCTTTTTCCTTTGTGGTTCGGTACCATAAGATAACATTTGACGTACTGCGAATGAACTGTCGGATACTTCTTCGAGCTTCGTTAAGGTGGGCCCGAACTTTGATACTTGCGATACCCAAGTCAAAATCTGGGGCTGAAGTAGAGACGGTAACTCGTGTTTGTTGGTGTTATCGGCAATGATGTCGGCGAAGATCGTCTCCAGTGATTGCATAAAGGAGAGCCATGTCGCAGGATCCATGGTTTGGATCAAGTGGTCGATGATGGCAGTGCCCCATCGCGCTTCTTGCTTCTCACTTTGGTTCAGCCATCTTAGTAAGACCATTCTCCAACATGTTTTGCAACCTTCCCGTGCTGCCAGGGTGTTTGTCAAAGCAATGATGGCTTGCCGTGAGTCCGTCTCCTGCACACGAACGATACGCACTATGTCTCGGACAAAAGAAGAAGATCGCCCCAAGCTAAGATCTACTGCGAGCTCATAGATACATTCGCACGTGTGTCCAGAAGGATTGTCGATATCTCTTGAAACCAGAATAGCTAGCATGCGCCGGTCGACATCATCCACACCTTCTCCGGTATTCTCCCAGACTTCAAGGATATCACGCAATATTTGCTCGGTATTGTCGCAAGATACTTCTGCAGTAAGCAGGTGGTCGACACAGTGTTTCTCGATGATTCTTTCAAGTGCGTGCCGTGATTTTTGATCTTTCGCATCGGATGCGAATAAGAGGGATTCAGTCGAGGTATCAGGATTGAACCAGACGAACGTGTGCCTTGTCTGCAATTCGTTTTGATGTAGATTCTGGGCGGCGACGTATATCTCCTTGATCGATGTCATCCGTTTAGAGCTGGGCCATGCGCCGATGTTCGCTCGGACAGCAGGCTTCAGTCGCGGGAATATATGTTCGGATGCTTTCACAGCCATGCAAAATGTGTGTAGCTCAAGTAGAAGGCGTAACCAAGCCGAAGTCTTCATCTGATTCCTTACGACAGATTGGCACTCGCGAAAGCACTCTCCAATCCCCTCGAATAGCCAATCTTGGAGGAAAAGCTCGCGAAAAGTCGTCGCTTTTGGTGCGTCGAGGAGATGGAGGAGTTGTTGAAGAGCGTGGACATGGAGTCCGCCGATTTGCTCCTTCTCGGACCATAGTTCGCGAATGAAGGCATGATTATCTTTCTCCGGTGTGCATGCAATCTCTAACGAAGCGTCGAAAAGATCCAAGCTGCTCTTCGTAATTGTTCCGCCGATGGTCAATGCTCGAAACAGATTGAAGAGGCTTTCGCCCTGGGGCAGCGAAGTGGAGACAGCGTCCAACCTTACCACGAGTCTTTCTAGGCTGGTCGATAAACATGCTTTTGTGTGCTCAGGGACCTCGATGATCAGGCCGCGGTAGTGTACCCAGTTCCTTTGTTCGCCATAGCCCGCCATCAAACCCTGACGTAAGGTATGCTTAGTACCTGTGATCATATCAGGTCCTTCCAGAGCTGCGACGTCGAGGATAGTCGACATATGAATGGTGTCTATCCTAGAGAAACGCGTGATACGATCAAAATCCGGTCTCCAAGAGGCCCACATTCTCCAGGCCGGGAAGTGGTGGCGATCGAAGACAGTTTCTATGTTGGTGAAAGGTGAATCCGAAGACGACGACACGTCCAGTTCCATCATCCAGTCTACTGCTTTCCTAGCTGCTACCCAATTACATGTTAACCGGAAACCATTCAGCTGCTCCGCATAATCTTTTATAGCTCGTCGTAAGAGCACCGCGAAGTTGTGAAGATCGACGTCCGTATTACGGGTTTTGTGGTTCGTCAAGGCTCGCTTTACGCCCTTCAGATAGCAGCCGGCTGCACTGGCGCCGGTGGTCGCATAGGGTAAGAGTGTGCGTGCCCATTCTGCTTGCAGACGTGTAACCAAAGCAGGATTGCCTTCATGCGCAGCTATGACGCTCTGTAGCCAAGTGTCGAGGCCCCAATAGCTTCCACACATAACATTCGTTTCAGCTCGTAGTAATTGGCTCAAGCTCTCCATGGACATAGCATGCGCTACGGAAGCTATAGCGACATCTCTTGCAGGGTGTGTCTGAACCAACATCGAAAGCCTCCTATCCGTCTCTTCTTGGCTGATCTTGCCTTTCTTCTTGAGATAGGTATCGGTGTGATTGCGGATGAAGCCCCATGGAAATCGACGGTGTGAGGGGTGTAGAGCCCCAGCAGTGGCCTCCACCTCCGCATGCCATTCTTGACTGTGATCGGTCTTCTTGAAGATCGTCGTACTCTTCAACGGTATGGCTCTTTTGGCCCATGACATATGGGAGCGTTTGCCGGTATCCTGCTCGACTGCAGTAGGAGGTATGACGGCGGTGGCCATGCTTGTCATACGTTTATGAGGAATGACCCTGCGCCAGGGGTGAGATGATAAAATGGATACAGATGGAACGGCTAGTTCGAGTCGCGTTACGAACGGTCGGTATTAAGAGAGTCGTGGGTATCGGTTACCGGCAACAAAGCACGAGAACTTTCGAGCAAATTGCAGGGTTTGAATTTGGTACAATGGGAATTTGTACCAGAGTCGCGTTTTCCTTGGAAACACACGAGGATAGTGGGACCCAGAGTAGCATAGGGTTGGTAGTGTTCGAAGAGGTGTGGCCAATAGACCGTCGGCTGACGAGGGAGGAGGAACATCAAATCTTTGAGGCCCATAATGGATGTTACGGCAAAGATACATGGCTAGTCTGGTATAGCTCACATGTGATGGGTGGCCTTTTACTGCGCAGACTGAGACTTTGGGGCTGCGCACAAGGCTGAACAGGGTGGCTTATACGGAAAGCACATTCACCGGCCCCCGAAACGGCTAGTGCGACTGCGACTGTGTAGGCTAACCATGGTACGAGACAGCGGTAAGCGAGGCGACGAAAATGGCAATCTAATGTAAGGAACGGTCAACGAAAGCTATCTGGCAAAGTTGATCGAGCAATCGGCGTATAAAAATGCCTTGTAGGATTGTGTGATCTAAGGATTCGTGACTACGGCGCCCGGAACCAGCCTGATTCAGCCGCAAATGTGCCTGAGGGTAGCAGACATTGTTGCAACCACTGACGATCTTTTGTGGATATTGTTACCTCTAGAACGCAATGGACTGCTAATGCGAAACGCATGGAGAGTCCCGATTTGAGACCATGAAGCTGCTACAAGATATCACATGATCGAACAATTACCTTCATCGGTGTCGGGAGCGACACCACGATTCTTCCGCAGATGCGCAGCGGCTTGCCGAATGAAGTCGCCTGTCTTGTGAAAACACACAAGGTTTCCTTTCGCATCCTTCACTGCTTCACCGATAGACCAGTCATAAGACTGTCCAGTGTGAGAGTCTGTGGCAGGACACTTGAGACCTTCGATCGCTTTTTGCTCAAGATCTGGTACTGCTCAGATATTAGCTTGTTGGTCGTCATTGTGCCGAAGGAAGACCTACGTGTTGCAACGTATAGGAGGAACTCGTCTACTGCCTTGCGACTGGGGAGCGTATCGCTACTTTGATCTGCTAGCAAGATCGCTGAGAGCTTCTCCATTTGTACGATTGTTTCCGTCCGCACGCCCTTGGACATCTCGTGCTGCTCAACTCGTAGAGCTGCGAGAGACTTGCCTGTTGGATGGAGGAGAATCCCTTTGACATCTTTCGGAGTAAACATTTCTCTGCTAAGAGGATTGCGGAGTACACCGCCATTTGCCTGGATAGCCTGAACAAGTTCTAAGGTTGGTACAAAATTAGTATGGGTCTCATCGTAGCCTGCGCATGGAAGTTACATACCATCCATCGACCACGCATAGTTGTCCTCGGTCACATAAAAATCCTCTCTGGCGATGTCCTTGATCTCATCCCCCAGCATGGTTTCGTCGTTGACGTAATTCCTTTCCAGATGCTCATGTTCGACGTGCATAAAACCTAGCTCGCAATGAAATTTGAGCGCATCCGGGAGAGTTGAATCGATGGCGCTTCTGCGTTTGACTAGATTATCGCGAATGGTATCGATACTTGCGCCCGAGGGTGTGCCATATGGCGCGCGCACCCATTGTATCATGGCTTCCAGATCTGCGATGACTAGGTTCGTGGCCTCTTTTGGTTTATCTCGGATGTTTCGCGCCACAGAACGAGCACTTGCTGGTGGGCGCATTCCACTGCAGACGGCCCCGTTACTACCATCCGCCATGAGATGAACTTTAGCGAGGTTCTTAGATTGGGGCAAGCCAGCTTTTTTCTGGAGGGTCTGTAGACGCAGCAAATTCGCGAACACATGTGTTGCTTTGGCACGTATGTCACGATACCCAGTAACCAGATTTCGTTGTTCGTCGTTTAGGTCATCTACTGAATCGCCTAAGATGAAGTCCGACCGCTTGGATCCACGTTTCGATGTTGGTTTCGCCGTGAATGGTAAGTTCTTCAAGGGTTCGCCTCCGGACTGGGCAGAAGATGCGTGTATTGGCTTGACTGCCTTCTTCTCGGGCGCTGGAGGCTCTGGTACTTTTTCGAGAATCTTTAAGAACCTCACAACGTCTAGGTCTGTGGGAGCTAAAGCCTGGAGCTTCTTGGCCTCATCTAATGCACCTTCCAGCCATTCATTACCGACTGCAATGTAATGTTCGATAAGCAGCTTCCTGGCTTCTATACCTGGGGGACTACGCGATATGCTTTCGTAAAGCTCTCCGATATAGATCATATCGGGGCCTCCTCCATGTGCGGCGACGCCCGATGTCGCGGCCATGACTGCTGAAGCACCGGTTGGATGAGGAGACCGAGTCCGGACGTCAATGGTGGGCTGGATGTGAGTACTGTGGGTGCTGGGGTGAGCCCGATCGCGCCTGCTTGTACTAGGTCGAAGCAATATGTCGGGTGGAATGTGTGTGATGACCTGTGCTCTGCTGGTCAGTGGGTTTGGTTAGTTGCATGGAGAGATCAAAAGCTGGAAGCCACAAGGCTGAGCCATAGCGGAATACGGCTCCCACTGCATATGGTGACCGGTGATTGTCAAAGGCAGCGCTCGAGGTTGGCTGGCACTGCAGGTCCCAGTGGCTTAGCGCGACGCTAGTGCCCGCTATCCGCGACACTGCCCAGGTGCCTCGTGAATGCGGGTGAGATAACTACCCCACGAGAGGATATTTTTAAATGTTTGTATTCAAGACAAGACCAGCGATGCAGTAGCCTCGCGGTTCTAAGATCCAAATCTAGGGTATCAAGCTCTCCTAGGCCCAGTCAAATCGAACCCAAATCAGTACAGCAAATCCGCGAACTCTCCCAAAACTCCCTCCTTGCCACCATCGAAGAAGTCATGCATGCCATCCATAGCCGCAAAGTGCTCGGCTACCTTCAAGCCCCTCAGTCGCTCTGCCTCGATAACGTCCCAGTTCCAATCCTTCGCCTCTACAGCCTTGGGCAGGACATCGCCATTCGGCCCTTGTTCTTCGGTTGTAGCCTCTTGGTAGACCCAGCCTTCTGGCTTTGCAGGTACCATGTCGGCATCGACCAGCACATGTTCCGGTGGCACCGTGATCCTGCCTCGCTTGACGACATACTTTGCAATCGCGGTGGCATATATCGCGCCCTTGAGCTTCTCTGCATCAACGTCCTTGGCTGGTTTGGACTTCTTCCAAGGCTGCAGTGTCCAGCTCTCTGGTTGTGCCACGCCAGGCTTGACCATGTGTGTGACGAGATAGAACCACTTCTTGTCCCAGCATAGGAGTCTTGTCCACATCTCGTATTTCTTATACGGGAGGATCTCCTTCTTGAACAGACAGCTTATGCCTCCTAGCGCGATGTAATGCTTGCCCCGTGTACCCTCAGTTGCCCCTACAGCTCCTGCTACAGCGCTCTTCTTGGCGCCACCTAGACGACTGTTCTTTCTTATGCCGTTTCGGATAAGCGCTGTGAAGAGGTGTGTACGGGATATGTCCATGTCGCTAAAGTATGTGCTGTTGGACTTGTGCATATTGTAGTCTGTCTCGAGGAACGTGGTACGCGTCGAGGTAATGATCGGTTGGAAGAGCGCATGCGGAGGGATCGGGGTCGGTTGGAAGTACAATTGATAGAACAAGGCGCGGATGAAGCGTAGCTATGAATATCGTCAGCTCGAAGTCGCGTCTTTTGCCGCTCTGCCAGATACGTACATGCCAGACAAATGGCAGATTCTTGAGGTTCGCCAAAGCGAGAAGGATCGCAGCTATCCTCCATAGACCGCCAGGCGCGTTGTAGCCTGTCCATCTGGCCAGCGCAGCCATCAGGTTGCCTCTCATAGTAGGTTGCGACACGAGTGCTGCCATTGACGCGCCCGCAACGACGATGCTAGCCGTCTGTGCCATTGTGACCATACCAGAAGATGGCTATCGATCTAATGAGCGACAGCAAGGGATGGGCACGTTAATATACAATCAGCGTCAGCATACGCCGCCCTGCCCCTTCGCGAAGGTTCAGGTGCCCTTCCTAATCGCGAGCCGAGGCTCGGAATGTTCCGCACTCAAGAACATGTGGATAGCTGCGCAGATCCGCATCCTCGATTCGCAACTTTGACCTACTTGAGGATACTCACCACATCGCCGGTATAGCTCAGCGAGTTAGACTCTGCCTTCTCGGCGGCATGTGTCTAACCTTACAGCGCATCTGTCCGAGCACAAACCGCTACTAGCGCTTTTGCGGCCGCCAATCTTGGATGCACGTCTGGAGAAACATCTATGAACACTAATTCCATCTCGCGGATGGCCATGAGCCGAGATAGTATTGTATCTTGGTCGTGGGCAGTGAAGACGCGCGACGCATGTGGCTGCGGCTGAGCCTCGATGCAGCAGCAAGCGCGCTTTCCTCCAGGCTGACAATTCAGCCCTGGAGTCTCCTGGCCTTCACTTCTCAACTACCTCCATGCTATAGCACAGCTTCAAACACTGATTGATCCCGAAAAGACAGTTGCTGTAGGGCAGATTTCCTCCGTCTATTCGACGGTCGATCTTAATCACGAAACAGACACGTTACGTCAAAGCCGATCTCAGCCTTGTCGGTATGGGCGACATCTAAGCCATGCGCCTGCTCAACGTCAACACCCGGCAACTGGAAGAGTTCTTCGGTGACGCAATTCCTCCATACGCAATCCTATCGCATACCTGGGGACAAGAAGAAGTCCTGTTACAAGATCTGACCTGGGAAGGGCACCAGCAGAAGCAAGGATATGCCAAGATTGAAGGATGCTGCCAGCAGGCGATCAAGGACGACCTACTCTGGATATGGGTTGATACGTGCTGCATTGATAAAACGAGCAGTGCGGAACTTTCAGAAGTCATCAACTCCATGTTCCGCTGGTATAAGCACTCTAGAGTGTGTTATGCATACTTGGAAGATGTGCCATCTGGGACCGATATTCACGAGCAAGAGTCTGCGTTCCGGAAGAGTCGATGGTTCACTAGAGGATGGACCTTGCAGGAGCTGCTTGCTCCCCAGAATATCAAATTTTACTACGCTGATTGGACAATCATCTCTCATGCCAACACGGATAGTTCTAGTCACATACTTGACAAGAGCTTAATCGACCTACTCGGCGATATCACGTCCATCGACACATATTTCTTCGGTTACTACAGTTTATCCGACTCCTTTGTGCCTATATCGGCAGCGTGTGTATTCTCCTGGATGGCGCAGCGAAGCACTACTCGTGTAGAGGATGAGGCATATTGCCTCCTCGGTCTGCTGAACATCAACATGCCGCTGTTGTACGGGGAGGGCGACAAAGCTTTTATACGGCTTCAAGAGGCTATCTTGAGCGATTCTGATGATATTAGCCCTCTTGCTTGGGGTTACCATCGTCCTTGTATGCCCAATGGGTCATATCTTGCCAGATCACCAATAACATTTCTTGGACATCCGAGCTCGACTGAACCCTCCAGCCGACGAATACCAAAGATACATACCACCGTCACTGGACGTGGCTTACACACTGAGCTCCTCATGGTCCTGATCAATGCACAAAACAAGGTCTGGTTGGGCATCGTGGAAGAAGAGGAGTACAACCGTTCCGGGATCGCCATTATACTAGAGCAAATACCGGACGGAAACGGAGATCTGTTTATGAGAGTTGGCAGCTGTCCGCCCGTTCCCTTTCGAATGAAGGATTTCCCTCGACGCACAGCTTGGGCTATTAGGAGGAAGCAGATCTATATCGCGCATTATTTTGACTATCGTTTGCATACGCGAAGAATCGCTACTAGCATCTTCTTGGAAAAGCTCCTACCTTGTGTTCAATATAGGTCGCGAGCATCTATCTTTCAGGATCCTGAGTACGGAGTAAGGGTTTCATTCATTGCTGAGACCGAGTACTCGTTCTCAAGTTCATGGCCGTCAGTTTCGGATCGTTCGTTATTTCACGCTCCCCAACGCCCATCTTATGTTTGCTTTGGGCCACAGAGCAATGTGTTCTACATGATTTTCTCCAACGAAAAGCAGGACAGGTTTGCAGTAAGAATTGAGCTCGAATGGGGCCAATCCTTCCCAATAGTCGCGAAAACGGCTTTCTGTGTACTTAGTGGCGAATATATACACACAGCTCTGGAGCATTGTCGCGGAACGGAGATCGGCAATTCAGTTCCACAGTTCACCAAGGATATGCGCTGGACGCCCTGCTTAGGTGTAAAGAACGTGTTAACCGGTGAGGCTGGCCACTTGGATGCGATGAACCGGACACCGGATGACAGAGGAGAAATTAGGGATTGTAAAATAGTGTGGAAGAGCGGTGTTCTATCGTAAAAGATCCCGGAACGGCGTACAACGATGGAGATCAAGATACGATAGAAGACAGAGATGAATGCTCACCTTCTCGGATATATCGCGATGTCTTCGACTATGTCCAGGTGCTCTTGCTTCTGCTCACGCCAATATCGCACTCGAAGTCGGCTTGTGGCTACCAATAAACGATGTCTGACACATCACGGAGGTATGCCTACCTGTTCCATATACAATACATACATGAATAGATCTGACACCCCACAGTATGGGCGATTAATCACACGACATCGACATAGACGAGTTTGCAAGTACTACCGCAACCCACACAATCGAGATTTTGGTTGGATGGAGACCTCACATCGCACCAAGTAGTGTTTGCTCAGGTAAATATATGTATATATTCCTACTACACATGCTGTTGCATATCCATCTCCATAACAAAGAAAAATAGCAAATGGGTATATAAATGAGGGCCGACTCGGCCCGATGCCTTTCAGCATGTACAAAAACGCCTTTTGATCCAGTATGCCGCTCGTCATTAACTCAATTCCGGAATAGTGAGCCCCAGGCTCCTTTCTATCACTACCCCAAACCCGTGGGGCTTCTCGTGGGGCCATGCCTGTCCGCTGTGCACAACCACCCTGGGGTGTGCAAGGATGGCTCGTTGCGTGGGGCGTGAGGCGTGCTCGTGCAGCGCATGGGTAGGGGTATATGTGTCCGTAGATGTGCCGACCGTAGTAACGCCTGCCCGTTCGTGATTACTATTGTGTAGTTCGTTGTGAATCGTGTTGAGTGTTCGAAAATCGATTATGCACTCAGCCTGGCGGAGGTGGTCGACGGGGAGACTCGCTCGTCCGTCGGGGTGTTGAGACACTATCTCGCTGCATGTCTCTCATCGCCTCGGCATAGTCCTTCTCCGCAGCCATGTCTCTGCTGTTACTGTTGACCATGTCGTCGATAAACTGATGTTGTTTCTTCTGCACGGGTTGTGCATCTGCTCCTGTAGGGCCATCGCCCAGCATGCTGGGTACGATATCCTCTGGATCCAGCCCAGCGTTTGAGTCTCGGTAATCCGGCTGGTTGGGGAACATGACGGAGTCTTTCTGAGGCCTTCGCGCACGTTTTGGCTTCAGTGGGAAGTTGCTGGGATGTATGTAGTCGCCGTCTGGGCTGCGCACGTTCTGTAGCGCGTTTGCTTCCCTTTCCATCTCTTCCCAGGTGGCGACGAGGTTGTTGTCGTTACGACTCCGGCTGTCGCTTGGGTCGCCCGAGAAGCTGCCTAGTCGGCTGATGCGGAAAGCTCGCAGGCGGTCGAGCGCCACCTTGAAATCGTCGAGAACGACGGAATCCGTCAGGCACTTGAAGACAAATGCAAACTTCCAAAAGGGGTTGATGCCTGTGGCTCCTGGGAGTTTGATAGCCTTGGTGACTGTAGAAATGTCCAAGACGATGAAGATTATGCTGAGCAGCATTGATAGTAGCATGATACCAAAACGCGGCGAGATGCGTATGATTTCCTTGAGGCTCAGTTCATATTGCGTCTTGATGACCCAGAAAAGGTAGATGGTGGTGAGAATCCACCAGGGATCGCGGCATAGCGCCTCATATGGTCGTGTTTTCAGGAATATCTCGTTGACGCCATGAAAGTAGGCGAAGTTGGCGTAAATCTCCACAACCCAGTAGGGTTGAACAAGCACGACAGTACCGATAAAGATGTAGCTGACAGGTTTCGAGAGGAATGGCTTGATCTTCATCCAGGCAATGACATTGTGCAGAGACCAAGAGGCGTTCAAGAAGATGGCGGCAACGGAGAGCCACCACGCGTGAACTGGGCTGGGGAAAAACAACCAGAATCCTTGCCAGATACCAAGGATGAGCTGGATTTGATCAGTATGGATGTAAGCAGATGCGTAAATGTGGACTCACTTCGAGTAGAATCAACTAGGTGTATGTCAGCGGTGGTCACTGCTTAAAGAGGGTTTCTGCTAACCTTGTGCAACAGGACGCCGCGCCTCATGTTTGCCAACGTGATGAACGCCATAATGATGAGCGAACCCACGAGATAACCTTGCGCCCATGCTTCCAGGATGAGTTCCTCCGGGTTGCTGGGCTTGGGTACGACCTCACCCTCTCTCCATTTGCGCTCGATGCTAGGAATGGGACTCATGGTGTTCGCAGAATTTTCGAAGGTCGGTTCCGAAAGCCGGGGCAGATGCCGAGGAAGCGTGCTGTGATGTCACAACGCGAAAAGCTTCAAATTCGATCTCAACACTTTTACCATGGCAGGCGTGAGGGGGGGCGACAACGATGGGTTTATGAGGAAAGACGGGGAATGAGTACAAGAACGAACGGGCGCAGCTGGGCGTTTCTCGTGGCGCGTCAGTTCTCCGCATCTCGCCATGACATTTACGGACGATGGTCATCCTGGAGGCTCCGGGGGCCGAGTCCATGCGTAATGGTGCTTTGCCTAAGGGAGGCATAGTGTGATTGAATCATGGCGGTGGCGCCCAGTCGGCAATTGGGACCACGCGGGCCAAGAGGTGTTTGGTGAAGCTGTGAATAAGCCAGCCGTTGTCGACTTTGCACCGAGGCCTAGAGCCATTGGCCGGGCCGGCAAGTCTTTCGCTGACGCGCCGCCGCCACGAACGTCTGCAGTGTTTGCACCATGACTGCCGCAATGGAATACTGAGGCATGGATTGGATGCGCACCTTTTGCGCGAGAACCAGCTGTTGCCGATGCGGTCAATGTCAGCACGGAACTGTGTACCGTGCAACGGCCGCATGCGTTCTGGTGCCTGGACGGCTAAAATTTGAAGTTCAGCACGCCTTGACCGGAAGCGGCTACCGTCGATGTCGATGGCTGCCAGCTGCATGGATGCTGCGGCGGGTGAGCGACATGGGACCCAACAGGCTGGGCCAGTGTCCTGGAATCTGGGATCGAAGTCTATCTACGTTGTTCATCTCCTTGCAGTTTTGGTGTGTGTTTCGTGTGCGAGGCTGTCTACCTTTGGTGGCAGCGCGACTAGATGGTAGATGACGGTGTGGCAGTATCTCAGAGAGTGTGTTTCAGATGGGACAATGTTTCAGATGAGGCAAAGGACGGCTCTGTAACGTGACAGTACACCACCGCAAGAGGGAAAACATTGCGCTTCAGCTTGCGATAGAAGGCTATCGAGTCCTCGACGTGAGCTGAGATTATCCGGAGGCTGTGAACAGCTTGTTATGGTGCGAAGACGCGTCCCGAAGATGCAGCTGACGCAGTACCAGGCGTAAAGGGGACAATGGTCTATAAACAATGAGGCATTGCAGCTATCGTCACTGATGCCTTCCGGCTTACCAAGTACAGCAGAAGGTCGATTGCCGGCTAGACAGCCTCTAGATTTCAGGATCGACGGGTGAGGCCAGCACGCGCCAGCCGATGTGGTTAATTTCGCAGGTGTCATCAGAAGCCCAACCATGGAAAAAGTAGCTTTCGGGTCCCAAATGCTATATTGGCGGCTACAACTGCCTAGCTGGCGACAGAAGTCTAAAGTGACGACCGGGTCTGTGGGCCATCCGTGGACATTGGCTGCATCATCAACACAGACTTTCATTTCATGGACCAGGGCGAGGACATGAAGAAACAAAGCGGCACATATGGCGAAGTCTGTCGCAAAGGTAGTACTGCGTAGTCAGCATGAGGATGTTCGACTCATAGTGATGCTGCCGTTCGAGGCACATGGCAAGGGCATGGCAAGGCTGGGGAAACGCGCTAGCTGCCCCGCTGAAGTCATAGAGAATCGCCGCGTCAAACATTGTTTGCGGCCAGCGCGCACAGCTTCAGCCCTGCCCACGACATCCAACAACTCCCGCAGAAGCATACGCGTTCAACATGTTCAAAAAGAAACCCACTGTAGGTTGCAATCTCGCACATACGCTGCACCGACTAACGCCCCTTAGATCAAGCCCCTCTCCCCCCTCAAGTCGAGCGACCGCCGCAGGACTGCCGACCAGATCATCGCCGACTTTGGCATAGACATTCCCGTAGATGCCGATGCGAATCCCGAAGACAAGGCAGCTTCTTCAACCGCCGGCCTCACAGCAGTGCGCAAGTCGCTGCTCCCCGAGAATGCCCTGTCCGCGCGCTTCACCACAACCGCGGGGCCAGACCTCAAGCAGGTGTCGGGCACAATATACGTAGGCAGCCATGAGGGCACCAGCGGGGAGCAGAGAGTATTGTGGGCGAAGGTTGGTGACAAGATGTACCCAACCGTCTATACTCTCTGGCACAACCCACGGATAGTCCCATTGCTCTATACGCCACTCGTCGTGGTCGAGAAGATGCAGGGTGGCGCCGACCTGATGACGCCTGGCCTGCAACGAGGCCCGCCTTTCCCCAAGAAAGCGACCAAAGGCGCAATCGTTGCCATTGCAAGCCTCGAGGCACCGACGGTACCCATGGCGGTTGGCGAGTGCGTCATCGACGTAAGCGCGTTGGGCAATGTCCAGGGAACTAAGGGTATGGCTGTGTCGACGTTTCACTGGGCAGGCGATGAACTATGGTCTTGGAGCTCGACGGGCAAGGCGGGCACAGAGCCTCCTGATATCCTCCAGGGCTGGGACGACGACAATGGTGAGGAGGCCAGTCTCGCTGAACGCACGGCAGCCGTCGATCTAGACGACGACGAGGGCGGTATCACTCTCGATGCTACCCCGACTGAACGGTCAGAGGCGGAGAAAGCACAGGGCGTACAAGGCGAAGATGCGCCATCCAATAACGACTTCATCGATGTCCTTGAAGATAAAGAGCTTACAACCAAGGGTATGCATCCTACATTCAGTCACACCAACCACCAGCTAACAGTCCTTAGAAATCGATGAAGCCTTCAAGAACGCATTCTTGTACGGTGTACGATACCACATGGATCACAACAAGGGCCATCCCTCCTACGGCCTCGACTTCCCCATCTCGCAGACAAACGTCATGTCCACGCTCGTCCTACCCTTCCTCCCTAGCTATACCCCTGCGCGAACAGCCTCACTACAAATCAAGAAGACAAGTTGGAAGAACCTGAGAAAGTTTGTCCGGTATCTGGACAAGCAACAGATTCTCAAGTGCAAAGACCGCGACGGCAATGAGGTCGTTGTATTGGACATCGACTTCAAGGACCGCCAGATCGAATCATTCGTTCCCTACCGGCTACCGAAGAAAGATGCGCCAACCGCAGCGAGCGTCAACGGGAAGCCAGCCGCGCCTCTCTCCGCCGAGTCTTCTGTAGGCCAAAAGCTCAAGCTCGTCTCCGTACTCCGACCCAAAGAGAAACTCGCACCGATTTTGAGCGCCTCTAAAGCTGACCCCCGAGGTCTCTACACCCCATCAGAGCTAAAGCAACTCCTCATCGCCTACATAGAAGCTGAGAACCTAATCGACCCCAAGAATAAGCGCCTCATCCGCATAAACCCGCAGCTTGCAGACGCGCTACTAGGCTCCTCGGCCGCCGACAACGCCGCCCTATCCTCAGGAGCCATGCCGCGCGACGCCCTAGCCGAGCGCATGGTCGCTGCCTCCTCCCCCTTCCACGCCATAATCCGCAACGACGCTGATATCTGTGACGCGAAGCCCAAAGCTGGTGCGCCACCTAAGATCCAAATCACTCTTGAGACGCGCAGCGGCAACAAGACGGTGACGAAAGTACATGGACTGGAGCCGTATTACATCTCACCGCAGCCGCTTGCTGATGAGCTGCGCAAGACGTGTGCCGGTAGTACGAGTGTGGATAAACTACAAGGGTCTAGTCCCAAAGCACCGGTTATGGAAGTCATGGTGCAGGGGCCGCAGAAAGATGCTATTATGAAGGCATTGGAGAAGAGGGGCGTGCAGAGGAACTGGGTTGATGTTGTGGATAAGACGAAGGGGAAGAAGAAGTAGATGTATATATACAATAGGTTTGCAAGCAGTTGAATGATACCCAGCTTGTTTTCTCCATGTACTGTGTCTTCCGATGGTTGGGTAGTGACTGAAAATATCTTTGAGTTGATATAGCGCTTTCATTGAACATGTGAAATGCTTTACTACGTACGATCAAGGGGTATCGGGTTATCGGGGAAACAAGCGGAAATGCTATTGTGAGGTCGTGTCTGACATGGAGAGGTGACTTGACCTTGTCCTTTAAGACACGCCAGACTTCATACAGCCCAACACGACTTCCGTGAAAGAATATGTTGAGCCCTCTTCCACCACTCTTCAATCGTTACCGGAACATGTTTAGCATCGCGCGTAGGTTCCTAGCCCGTGCGCGTCGCGTCACCGTCCTTGTCCGCTCCCTTCTCGCCAACATCCCCTGCCATTACGTCCTCAAAGAAATTGAACATGCTATCCTGCCCGCTCTTCTCGAACTCCTTGATACACTGCCCAGGTGTGATGACGTCAGCAATAGTCTGGATTTCCTGCTTCCACTCCTTCACATACGACGCCGTCGGCTCGGTATGTACGACGTAGAAGTGGCGGTAGTCGCGGCGCATATCGACCTGCAGTCCGGCGTAGTAGCGGATCATGTTCAGATTCGCGGCTTGCTGGCTACGTTTGAGGGTGTTGAAGTAGTCGACAGGTTCGCATTCTGCGATCGCACGGCGCTCGGAGAGGATGGGGTGTTTGTCGGCTTTTAGGCTGAAGGGGGCGTCGGGACTGTCTTGCTCGATGTAGTTGGGGTTTATGAGGAGAGAGTAGAGCTCCGCGGCACTATGTTGAAGTTAGTGATATATCCTTTTATTTCGAGTGTAGTGAACGAACCTTTGTACATCAGGATCCCCAGCCTGGAGCTCTGTTGCTTGGTCTTCACAGTAGGCAAACAGATGCTCCATCAATTCCGGGCGGACACAAAGACGCCAGAGCAAGCTGTTCTCGACGATCTCTGGCCACTGAGCTGATGGACCTGCGAGTTCCTTGAGCTTCTTGATTTTCGCCAAGAAGAGCTTGATGATACACAGCGCATATCTTGGCATCGTTTCGAAGACTTCGTCCGTGATGTAGATGAATCCGCCAACAGGAAATATCTCTATGCGATCATGCCTGAGCACAGGAGTCTCATCTGAAGCATAGTCGTATTCGATACCTGGCTGAAGCCCGACTGACCAGAGACGCACTCCTCTACGGAGGACTTGGCCGAATCCGGGGATACTTGTGAAGTA